TCTTGGCCACCTGATATTTAGATCTATAAATAAATAGATAACTTTCTTGGACAGATTGTAGAGCTAGAGAAATTGATTGTAAAACTAATTAAAAAAGACAGTTGAAAATTTATATAAGTGTTGGAACGTAATAAAAACAGCAAACGGGCGTATTGTTAAAGTTATGGCCGACAGAAAATTAGCTTTAGAACGCGTTAAACTTTTGAAGGGCCACAAAGTCTATGAAGGTAGCCGCCATCTTATTGTACTAAAAAATAAGCAAATCATGTGACGTCACTATTCAGTCAAGATAAAGCCAATTTTTGAAAAATGTAAAATTATTGTGGTTAATCTACCTATGAATGAATCAATGAATTAATTAACGTCTTTAAATGTTTTTTAATTTGTGATAAACAGTCGTTCTGAAAACAAAAATTGTTCTCTACCTGCATACGATTTTACAGCTCTCCACCTAGCGACGATTATCTCTAGTATTAAATCAGACAAACAAAAAAAAAACAAATATTTATTCAAACATGTAAACAAATTTGAGTTTTAGTAGTATATAGATAAATAATAGTATTACTTGCGAGGCTATTCAATACCAAGGCATTTGTATACAGTTATTTGTCAGCTGGTTGCATAATGTTGAGTTATATGGCGTGTTTACCCGTTGAAATCTCAGTGTCGCCTGTTCAGTCCGTATCTTAAAACTCCCTACCCCGTAAACTACACGTCACTACTAATGATATTCGACATCTGGTGTGTATTTGTCATGGTTGCTCCAAACAGTTTTTTTGTTCTGTTTATAGTTAGTAATTTACGACAAAAACATGTTTTGAAAATAAATAAAAAGTTCATTTAAACAAGATATATTTCTATCTTCTGCAACAATTGCCATGCAAAAAACTATTCGTAGTCTTTATTTTTCACAGAGAGTCTGTCGTGTGTACATTTAACCATCGGGGAATTGCGATTTAATCGAAAGTGTTTAACAATCTTTGCCAACAATCATTTAAGTACTGTGTGGATAATTAAATTGTTGTTTCCTTCCCAGGAGAACTGATACGTTTGCCCCTAACTGTATCTAATCCATTCTTCATTAAAGACTTCTCTGTTAAACTAAAGATCTTTTTGATACCTTCAGTCTTTGCAGAAAACCTTTTCACGATATAAAATAAGCCGGGAGGGATCTCCCCTAAACTTTCTCGAATATTCTAATATAAAAGTACGAGGGATGGCAACTCAGGACATAGACAATATTTGTAATCCAATTTTAATTACTTAAACTTTTTATAATAGAATGGAATCTCGTAAAAAAAGAATTGCACACCAAGTGAACACCTAATAAAATGTGCATAATAGTGCGGGATATTATTAGTACTTTATAAATTTACGTGCGTTTTTTTGAGAAATCGGAAATAGCGTCAATTAATACTTCCAGTCAACGAAAATTACTAAAAATTTTACAGAAGGTTGAGAATTAGATCTTTTACTTACATGTGAACTTTCATTTATCTATCTGAAATAGCACTTAAGTTATAGGCTTTTGAAAAATTCAAAGTAGAAAAAGTACCACTTCTGGTTATCGGAAATCGCTCAAAAGTTGATACGGATCTACGATTTTGATAAAATACTTATATATGAAATTTCATCAACCTAGCTGTAACGGTACTCTAGTAATCGTGTTTACACACAGACATACACACACACACACACACACACACACACACAGACATACGGACAAGATTGCAAAATTATTTTTTTCCGTATCAGTGAGGTGTAAAACGTCCAAATTTGTAAAAATCTCGATTTTTTTGCACGATTACAATACTTTCTCTATACTTCGTATATACGAGAAAGTAAAAAAAATGTACGTGTATAACATCAATTATACCTTTACCAAGTACAAAACAAATGAATAAAAGAAATTAAATATTCAAAAAGGGGTGGTGGTAATGTTTTAGTATTAAAACTGGTCAACACATTGTGCTCATTAGCCATGTTTGATTACAAGCCGATATCTGATTCACATCAATTGTGTAATTCTCGAAGTTACCAAATTGATTTAAAATGAAGAAGGATGATTGTGTTGACACTATTAAACTTTGAAGACACGCGTATCTTCTACATCACAGCACAGTTAGAAAGACAGCCTAATACGTAGAATAGTAACAAAACACCAAAAAAAAATGACTTACCGACAGTTTACTATCAAATCCCCTTTTTTGCAGAACATACATTTTATCATTTAGAACAAATTTAACTGGTTTTATAACGCGATTTTCTATCGGTCAGCTTAATCGAAATGAAGGTGATACGAGTATCCCGCAGGTAAGAAAGACCCACCTGTACCCTATATATATATATATATATATATATATATATATATATATATATATATATGAAGTATTTACGATAATTATACCGTCGTTTTGATCTCAATAGTGTTAATATTATGGCTTTATTTTTATTGTGTGTGGTGCGCAACAAAGAATCGTGACTGTTTTAATGACAATATTAATTTAATTTAGTCTAATAAAATATATTTTTAATCAACTAGTTTAGAAGTAGATCTAGAAACAAAATATGTCCCCCACGTCAAACTAGATGTAGGTACACAACGGAAAGAAAAGACATGCCGATGTCATTTAGATCTGATATTTTACTGTGACCTGATGACGCATGAGCCCATATCCAGATAGACAATTACAAAACAGATGGTCTAAAGATTATCTTTTGTTCGAATTGATTGGGTTTAGTTTTACCAAGTACTACTTCTTGACATAAAATAAAAAGCTATTTACGTTAATTTTGTAAGGTAATCCACTTCTTCTTTATACATTGACGCAATTATCTCTTAACTTTTTAACATTCAATCCATCCTTTATCGGCGTGGTCGAGTCTGTAAAAATTATGGTTGCTAAACCGAAAAGTCTCGAGTTCGAACCCTCGAGCAGATGGTGCTCGTTATCTGGGGACAGCCACTCTTCTAAAAGAAACAGCTCCAAAATCAAACAACTGCTGCCTTGTAGTTTGTTCTTGTTTGGACAAAGGCTATGGAAGCAAATCAAAAAACAATAGCAGGCTGAAATCAGAGTCATTGGATTCAATGACTCATAATCAGTTGACACATACTTAATTGTGTTAGAGGGAATACATTCTAACACATTAAGAACGAAGATTGCATTCACGCAATCCACTAAGCCTCTTAATTCCCTTAAACATTTAAACCACTAAACGCTATGTAACATTTACATAATCCACCTCACTCTTAGCATCCACCACGTAGATCGAGTTTTTGCAGTCAAGTTGACAAAGTTGACAAAGTCGATTACTGAAATTCAATCAAATGGAAAAACTATTAAGATATCTATAGAATCGTGTCCATATAAACTTGCATGAAGCCTATTGAAACGGAAACCATAAAAAAATACAAACAGGCTTGTAGGGTGTCAACACACAAACCATACAAACTGGCATATAGGCGATGAGCAAAAAAACTAAACAAACATGCATGTAGGCTGTCAACCTGTTGGTCTAATCAACCAACTAAATTAAAACACGTAACACTGCAGATAGTTGAAGCGGAAATAGAGAATTTATGTACATTTTCGTATATGGCTTGCATGTTTACCTTTATCCCATCGACCTAGGTTTAATCTTACATCATCTTCTGGAATAGGTCTTGTTAAATTAAACACTAATCTACTCTGACCTTATTTAACCAGATGTTTCCATATAACCCGTATAGGTATTCGTGTGCAGTGGCCAGAGATCGAAATGCCCTACAATCCTTTATCTCACGGACATGCTGGAGACATTGAGAGATCTACTGGCTGCTGCACTCATTATCACTACTCGGTTTTTCTGACCATGCGCAGAGCAGTTAGATAGTGATTTTTACATATATAGGCTTTTTAGTACACATTGTGCGTACTCTATATTTTCGGGAGTCACTTTGCATTTACCGAGTAGAAGCGTGTATATGGGTTGGTGGTTATAGGGCTTGTAAGTAGGTGACAACTTTTCGTTCTCGAGCTATGCAGCTAGTAGATTTCTAGACCGTAGACTTACAAGCCCTATAGTTGGTGGCAAGTGTGGAAGGGATGCGTGTGATAGGTGGGATGGACGAGTTGGGTGGCAAAGAGAAAGAGGTCGTCATTGAACTGTTTCCAGTCCACTAATTTACATTTTCGCTAACTAATAATGCAAGAACAGATTTTAAAATCTACCAATACCAGAATTATATTTGATGATGTTAATACCAAAGGTCACGATTAAATCGATAAGTTTCAATCAGAAGGTTCTTAGAGCAGCTGATGGAAATACAGTTTAACTCACTTCATTTAATCTTAAGATAAAGTTAGCAGAAAGAGGGCTAACGGGTGTAATGGTGTCATATCACAATAGTGTTTCTTCCATACTTTTTTCTCCGAGGGAGGGGGACACTTGAAATTTTCGGCGGGGGTGGGGCGGACACTGTTAAAAGTATATATTTTCTATATAAATTCCTTTTCATGGGGGGGGGGTCCACCTGAGATCAACCTAATTCAAGAACATAAACAAATGTATAAGTATCAAAGGCCGCGGTTCAGCGATGTCAATTTTAGGTCACCTAAATTTCAATTATTGAAATGACCCTAATTTTTCTGTCAAAATGAGAGTGAACAGGAAACTTTGTCAAGAACAATTTCCCTGGAATTTACCTCCAGTACCCGATCTAAGAGGTGTTAACAATAAACAAACATCCCCCTTACTATATTTTTATAGATATGGATAAAGATCAATTTTTTAAATCGATAATTCCAAAAATTAAAATATACTTTTAAATAAAGGTTATACATGTCCACATCATGCATATGTGGTTGTACGAGCTAAATTTACCTGTCTGTGATAACATGCCATGTCTTAAAACCATGTCTTAAAATACCGTTTTCTAAATTAAAGATTAATCAACTCTAACAATCGATATTTAATCTTTGAGGCATCTGTCGTCTGGTGATCTCATTCTGTCAATCTGACAACGTGGCTAACACAAGTTATAGGAGCCTGTGGCAAACACACCATCTCCAAACGAGCTGACTGAACACAACATGTTTTTTACAGGTCTGCTAGCCGTTGCACTTATAATCAAACTACAATCTCTATGCACAGGCGCTGAGGTAAACGGTGAGTCATTGTTTCTTTTACATATATATAAATATATATGTGCCTGTGTGTGTATGCGTATCAGTTGCAAAATAATGTGTGTTTATAAGTGACTACATATTATACAATAACATGAAGTATAATTCAACAGTCGAGGTAAACATAGGAACCTAATTAGTGTAAGAAAAACCCTTGGTGCTAAGCAAAGAGAGGCTGGCGCAGAGAGGGGAAGTGTACAAAGTAATGGCTTTTTTTAAAAAATTAAACACTACTCTCCACATTTTTTAATAGTATTATTATTTTTTAAACTCAAAAACTAGGGGTTTACGATGCACCACGTTGTGAAGTACGAAGGTGTCTGACTGCACCTCAGGTAAGTTTTTTTGTATTTTGTTTCTTGGCCTTCTATCAAACTAAGTTATTACAATATATTCTATTGAACTATATTAAATTAATATTCTCATTAAAACGGTTTCCGTTCTTAGTTGCTTTTTCTCATTAAAATCAGCACTATATATGTTGTATATCATAATATATAAAGATATAGATTACATAATTTTTTAAGAGTATTATTAATTTTAAAGTTTGAAACCTTAATAACAGAAACCAAAAGCAACAGGTAATACACGTTAAAAATATAGTCAAAAAATTAACTAAATTTTAAAAAAAATTAAAAATCTAAACGACGGCATACTTACTCTAAATACTTCAACACACAATATATATATATATATATATATATATATATATATATATATATATATATATATATATATATATATATATATATATATATATATATATATATAAATATATATATATATATATATATATATATATATATACATATATATATATATATATATATATGTATGTATATATATATATATATATATATATATATATATATATATATATATATATATATATATATATATATATATATATATATATATATATATATATATATATATATATATATATGTGCTTTATTTAAATGTGTATTTTAATGCTTGCGTTAATCATTGTAGAAAAGTGAGCTTAGTCATTGTTCGACATTGTTTTTCTAACTGTGGTGTGTTGTAGATGATACGCTTTTCGTGTGTTAAACGTTCTATTATTTTAACACAATCACGCTTCTTTATATATAAATAAGTTTTGTTTGGTAAACTTCTATAATTACAAAATTTATGTGAATCAGAAATCGGTTTGTAATCAAACTTGGCTAATGAGTAACATGTGATGGCGGGTAAGAAATACTAGTTGCATTACTTACACATCAACACCTCCCATTTTTTATATTTAATATTTTTTCTTCATTTGTATTGTACTTTGTGGAGTTATGATTGATGTTAGGCAGATGTATTTTTGTATACTATCAATAGTTTTTTGCAAGGACTGTAGTTATCAAAAAGCACCTTATTCAAAGAGGGAAGTCGTTTTTAAAGTTCGGGGGTTAGGGGGGCTACAGGAATTTAATTATCCACTTAAAACTTTAGTAATTGTTGGCAAAGATTGGTTAACTCTTTAGATTAAATCCCAATTATAAATGAAAAAACAACAAACTCACCACGAAATAAAGCGGTAGTGATCTCTGCTAAACTTTCTTGAATATACTTATATAACACTACGGAGGATTGTAACTCGGGATATAGTCATGATTTTCAATCCATTTTTAATAACTTCAATTTTTAAAATACAATAGAATATCTTAGAAAAAAATATTGCGCGACAAGTGAATGGCAAACAATGGGTATAATAGTCTGAATTATTAGTAATTACTCAAAATTTGACAGAAGGCAGGGATTTAAATCTTTTACTTGTATATTAAATTTCGTCTATCTATCCTAAACCTTACTCAAGTTATAGCTTTTCAAAAATCAAAAGTCGAATAAGTTCCACTTCCGGTTACCGGAAATTGCTCAAAAGTTGATACAGAACTACCAATTTTATATAATAAATGTATATGTAATTTCATCAACCTAACTTTAACGGTACTCAAATTATCGTGTTCACAGATACACATACACATATGCACATATACGGACAGAACTGCAAAGCCCAGCATTTCCGACTCGATTACGTACAAAAAGCGAAATTTTGATAAATCTGGATTTAGAATTTTAGCCCGATTAAAATAACTCCCCTATACTCCGAATATGATAAATAACTGAGGAGTAAAACTGTGAAAGCTGTCATGTGATTATTGTGTACGATTACCACACTTTCTTTATATTCTGTATAATAATATAATTAAACCACTTCGTTTTTAAATTATAAAATGCATGTATGCTCATCAATTTCAAACAAAAATGCATATAAAGCGTTTTAATTACAAGTAATTCATTTCTTTCCGTTTTGGTTTATTATTACATAATGGATTATTCTTTAAAAACAATGAAGATTATAAAACCATATCCTTTATTTAAAGCCAGTTTGTGAGAAATTAACAATGAGGCCTTGCTATGCAGAACGGGAAGTTATGACAATGTTGGGGAAAAACTTCTTATGCGATACTAAAACTGACGGAGGTGGTTGGATTCTTATCCAGGTACATGTTATGGAGGAACTGTTATTTATGATAGCAGAGATCGCTTTATATTACAGAGGGCAGTGCCTTATTAATGAAAGAAAGCTTTTTAAAATACTGTTTTTTTAAGTCACTTTTTATATTAATTGTTTATTGTTTTAAATTTTAAAATAAAAAACTACCAGCGTCGAATTAAACCCGGTGTGGATTTTGTAAGAAACTGGGAAGAATACAAACAAGGCTTTGGCACGTTAAGTGGTGACTTCTGGATAGGATTGGATTTCATCTACTCGCTAATTACGGTTAGTAAAAAAGGATCTGATTTTTAATTATATTTTAAAGAAATTAAGTGTCAAAACTGTCATTCTTCCAAATTGTATAACCGATGTGTTTGCATTTAATTTGCTATTGTTTCATTATATACACAATACTCAAATAAAATTTGGTAAAGTGACGTTTTCGAAAAAGCGTATTAAATTTTAATGCGTATGACTTAATTCTATGTGTAGTTTTTTTTTAATTAACTTTTCATCACAACATTGAACAATGAAGGTGGGCAAATCAAGCTTTGTTTTGTAATTGGACGAGCCTACTGTTTTCAACTTAAAATTAATCAGAAAAAAGATTCCGCAACACTACGTGTACGCATAATATCCAAACTAAAAAGAAAATCTACTTATTTTTGCTTATTTTACTCGCATTTAAGTTAGAAAAATAAATTTCAAACATTGTTTAATTTGCTTTGTTAATTTGCTTTCTTAAATAAATAGTTTCATTGATCTTACAATTAATGATACCTAACTATCATATATTCTTGACAGCAACACAGTTATGAGCTGAGAGTTGATATGAAGTATCAAAACAGATCATACTACGCCAAATACCACACCTTCAGCATTGCAAATGAAGCCGACAAATTCCGTCTCACTGTAACTGGCTGGTCTGGAACCACTGGCGATTCATTTTATGCACAGAATAACAAGCAGTTCTACACAATTGACAGGCCTAGTGCAAATACTTGCACTGAACATTACCAAGCAGGCTGGTGGTGGGGCAACTGCTACAGTGTATTCTTAAATGGTCTATGGAATGAGACACGCCGATGGAATGGCATTCACTGGGATTCACTAGGTCAGGGTGTCACCACTTTACAGTCCGCGGAGATGAAACTTCGAAAGAAGAATTATTAGTGCGGTTGTTAAGGGGATATATGCGCGGTAAAAAAAAAAATTCCAGTTTTTCGTAATGATGGGTTTCTTGTACTTTTGGATACTTGGTCCATTTTCGAATTAAGAAAATAATAACTTTTAAGAGAAAAAAAATTGTATGTGTTTAAATTACCATTTTTATGACCCTATTAATTAAAAAAATAATCAATGTTTCCCAATCCTATAAGCTCTCTATGAAAAGTTTTATATCCGTCATAATATTGTATTTGGCATCACTGGAAAGCTGCATTTCTCGTCTATTTGATAATCTTAATTTCAATCATCTCGGAAACTCCCAAAGCTTACCATCGGTTTTGCAATTTACACAGATATTGGTACTTTCGTGACCTACTTTTGGTTACTTTTGGCTCTTTTTCTCTGTTTGGAGGTTTTTAACACTATAAATCCTACTACTTTTTTTTATTTATTAAACAATACCCACCAATTTTTTAGTAATTGTTCTTTAGGCAAAAATACAATTAGGGAATTGTGATGGCTTTCATAGGAAAATGTATTTGGTAATTCAAATGCAAATTTTGAAACTTTTGAATACTAATAAGGGTACGAATTTTTATATTTTGTAAAATTGTTACTAGTAGCTATTTTAAAAAGTTGTCCTGACTAAGGTTTTAATATAAACTGAAATATAAGCAATTTAAATTTAATTGCTATAGGTGCATAAATACAAGCGCCTTAGCATTTTTTTAAAAGTACCGAAAAATTCAAAATGGCGGAGATTTTTTTTGGGTTTCCATGACAACCAAATTTGTTTTCAACCCTTTTTTTTCTGTTAAATACTTAATTTCATGTAGAAAATATATACTTTTAACAGTGTCGTCGTCGTCGTCCCCCCTCCTGAAAGAGTAATTCATATTGAAAGTCTACAAGAAAATCTTATTTTATTGCTTATTAATTTCCTTATTAATTCTTTTTAATCCTATGGGGGTCGCGGGTCACGAACTTTTTATAAATGGTGGTCGCCACTTGAAAAGGTTTCGGAACCACTGGTTTACATGAACCATAAAAATATATAGTTTCTATAAGACCGTGGTCAGTATAGGTCAGTTTTTGGGCACTTGACTATTGCAATGGCTATAGTTTTGATTTGGAAGGAGAGTGAACTACAGAGTTGGTCAAAGAGACATTCCTCTGTAACTTATCAGCAAGTACCCACCTTAGTAAGATGTTGTTAGCAGACAGCGTGACAAAATCTACTTCACTTTAATAAAGTACATAACGCTTGATTCCCTTTTCAAGAAAACAACGCTTTTGTTCACATGGGTTGTAATAGAAAACGGTGTGCAAGCTAAGTGGGTCACAGCATTCCGAAGCTACGGGAGCCTTATGGCAGATGTAAAATACCACACCTGCGAATCATTTTTGTAATTTCTATGATAAAAACACAGATTTTATTAAATTTGATATAAATCAAATGCTTATTTAAACAAAAATCATATATATATATATATATATATATATATATATATATATATATATATATATATATATATATATATGTAGGCTATATATGTGTGTGTGTGTGTGTTTATAATATTTTTCTGTGAGATATTTTGTCTGAGATCTTATGCTCATGATACCATTTGTCCTAATATATTTTGGCCTGATATCACTTGCTCGAGAAAAAAGTTGATAATTTTCCACGAAAGGTAATGTGTTGCTTGATGTCTCAAGTAGAACGAACGCTACAGTGAACACAGTCACGTTTCAGGCTAAAAATATATAACATAATAATCCTCACATTGTTTATAACAAAACAAAAATATAAAGAAGTGTTTATGATCTGTGTAATTTGATAAAACTTCACACCCGAAATTGGAAGCTATTTAATTAAAAAAGAAAAACTACAAGTAAACAAAAGACACTTAGAGATGCCTAGCTTAGTCATGACATTTTATTTAGAAATCTTTTAAGTTGGCGTTATTTCCCCAATGTTTCTACTATTGTGCGTGTTAAAGTTAGGCTGTGCCAATGCAGGTGACATTTTATTACTACTAAGTTCGTACATGTATCTTTTTTTTTCGCCATGCGTATGTATATCTGAAATTATTTAAGAAAGTTCTGTTAAAACTTTGGACTTTTTTTGCCCATGATCTATTGATAATGATTATCTATATATTCTTCAGGTTGTATTATCGTCAAAGTCAAAATGATCAGTTCCTTGATAATTAAGAAAATTTTAGTTCTTGACTCCTTAACTAGGAGGAAATGATATATTTGTATTCCTTTTTGTTATGCACTAACGCATTTTTAGCGCAATTTCCATACTGGCAATTGCGTTTAATAATGCGTCATTTCTGGATGGATGTGTGGATGTGTGTCCGCAGCCAAAAAAAAATCCCGAAATTCCTTCATAGATTTCCCGGAAAAGCCAAAAAACCTCGAAAAAATGCAGTTTTTAGCCCATATCTCGGCAACCAGACCACTTAGCGGCTTGAAACATATACCAATCGATTCCTGTCATAATTTAGAACAATATTGCCAAAGAAAGTTTTCAAAAATATCCTTTCGTTCGGTCACGTTCGGGAATTTTTTTGGCCCACAATCATCCTCGGAACTTGCTTAACATATTGCTTTTGGAACTAGTCCTCGATATTGCTTCATTGAGGAGGAGATACGACTTAAAGCTGCGGTAAAGCTGCGGACACACATCCAGAAATGACGAATTAATAATCGCAATTCCAGTATGGAAATTGCGCTAAAAATGCGTGTCACATGATTTGACCAATACACAATACATATCACACTAGGCGGATAGTCAACGCTTGAGGTCGTGTTGACGAGATAAAGTCTTTGTGAGAACAGACGTATAGTGGTTTAACTTAGTGTTTGTGATGTACCCACGTTAAATACCCAAATTTATAATGCAAGCTCACATCGAACAATATCTAAAGAGAAAAATTTTCCAAGAAAACGAACAACATTCTTACTTTATATTTCACGAGCCGACCCGCAGCGTATCATACGCCGCCATTTAGTTGTTTTATTTTATACTTTTCAGTAATTCATAATTTGTGAATTCGACAGTACCAATGCTGCCACTGAAAATATTTGCTTTAAAACACTAACCCCCCCCCCCCCCGTTCCCCTAACCCCGACCCTACCCCCCCCCCCCCCCCCCCCGTGAAAGCAGCCTCCTCTTTGTTATTTCTTCGTTACCTCCTGTAAGTTTAAAATCGAACTAAATTATCTGCCCCTAATAGAAACCCGGCTCTACGATTTGTAAACATTTAGCTTTGTAAACATTTAGCGTGACCATAGCTCACCAGACAATGTGGGGTGGGGTGGGGGTGGTAGTGATAGTGATAGAGAGAAAAAGAGGGGACTGCAAGGAGGCGCTTGCAGCTTGTTTTCTAACGGCTCCCAGAAGAGAATTATATATATAGATTTTCAAGAAACCCTTACCTGAAAAAAAAAAACATTGCTTCTCAAGCCTGTATTAAATGGATCACTGGGTTTTTAAAAGCTACTATTTAACAGAATGTAGCGTGCTGTTTAAACCTATGTAGTTGCTATAGTGATAATATTGACGCCGGACTGCTCCAGGTCACTCGACCGCGATACGCTCAAGGCCGCCACTGATATAGTTACACAATTGCATCAAGTAGTATTCATTGCCTTCTGTTTTGTCCTCCTAATCAAAGGACCCCACGGTCTAAAGTTACTGCAGGGGGAACTCTGGGCGCACAAAGTACTATCGGGGCGCTGGAAAAAGACCCGTGTTCGATTTAGTCAATGTATAATATTTAAGAAAATAAGATATTAGCTTAAAAATAAGTATTTCTTTAGTTACCTCCCTTAGCTTAAATGCTTTTAACCACAACTGTTTTATAATAAAGAAGTGTGAGTTGCCTCTTTTTTCATTGTTGGTATCGATGAGCTAAAGTCGACGCTAATATGAATGTAAAGACCTTATTCTGTATTACTGTAAAATTAAAATTATGAGACAATACTAGGGATTATAATCAATTTTTACACGTATATATTTTTATTGCTAAGATTCCAAATTCTTGTAATTTCAAAAATACAAAATAGCTCTATTCAGTATATGATTAATAAATGCAAATGTAGATATTTGACAATTAAATTAATTACATTTTATTTTGGTACCATATCTTTCTTAATTGTCAAAATATGATGGTTCTGCGCGCACTATCACACACACACACACACAAACATGTTTATTTATACATTTATATAAACACACAAATGCTCGTTGTCTTCGTCACTTCATGCTTATAACTAGTTGCAAAGTCTAACATTATATACATAATTACTTATGGGACGACGCAGTTGAATTGTGGAGCTTATGGCCGAAGGTCTCGAGTTCGAATCTCTGTTCAAACTTGTGACTGTAGGACATTCTTGAGTCCACTCAGCTCTGATGGGTACCTAACTTATGTTTGGGAAAAGTAAAGGCGGCTGGGCAAGTGCTTATTACTCCATCCCTTATGCTGAAGTAAAGAAACATGAACTCTACTTCATCTGCCCAATGGATCGCTATGTTTAAAGAGGAATCTTTACTTACATTATTACATATTGTTTCTTAAATCTTTATAATTCACATGTATAATAATTAAACATTCACTTGCGGGTCTTATTCTTTTAATCATCAATATCCCACTATTTCATAACAATACCCTAAAAATGCTCCTCCAAAAACTGATAATCCACACATCCAGATTATCCACGTGCTAATAATCTACGAATACTAATAATCCACACCATACCCACTAAAATTCCCTTTACCACCTGTCCCACTATGCACGTGAGCGTAGTACCACCCCTCCCTCCCCACCACGTAGACGCACGCCCCACTTGACCCTGGGCAGGTGCTGGCCGTGTAACAGTACCGACATTTCCTACCCTCACCCTCCTCACGGTACACCCACTCCCCCACCGTCACCATCTTCGGTCCCCCGTGGGGATGGGACACGACCACTGTTACTTTATCCTCGTCCCTAATATCCTTAAACTCATCCCTGACTGACCTCACCAGGTCGTAGTACCTCCCCCACTTCACTTCTAACTCTTCTACCAGATTCACGTCATGCGTGACGCAGATTAACTTACACCTGTCCGCGTCAACGTCAGCTGACTCCAACCCAACCCCGGTCAGTAAAATTATCGGACTGTCTTCCTTATCGTAACCGAAACGACACACTGTATTCTGAGCCTCGTAATCGTCAAACACCAAATGTGTGGCCGTCACTATTCGAATCTCGCCCCACCTCATGACAGGCTTGCCAGATTGGATACACGTCCCACACGGGCAAGGCTGGTTATCTTCCTCCGTTATTTTCTTGATCTTGTAGATTCTACCGCTGCCTTTTCTGGACAGTCTCTTGATAGTTAAGTTGGAGTAGGGGTACGGCCGCCCCGTCCTGGGGTGCGTATTTATCCGGCCCGGGCTAATGACGTACGTCACCACCATGACGGTTAGCTGGGCAGTGTACTTGACGATTTCGTACACGTTGCCATGGTAACGCTGGGGCAAACACGATGGGGTCAGGTCACGGGCTGGGAGAAATAGGTCGTGGCCTTGTTTTTTCTTGCAGTTTGGGTAGTAGGTCAGTTCGTCGTCGTCTTCAAAACCTTCCTGGGTTTCGTGAGTACCTGGTTGATAATTACAGTCAGTTGATTGGACGCACTAATTGGTAATACATTATTGCATAAATGTTTAATATGCTGTTTGCAATAAGTACTGAAGGCAATGAATTATTTTAAACCGACAATACACGACAGTCGTAAGAATTTTAAACACAAAGATTAGAATATTTC